TTTTTTGGTCGCTACCCGGAATCGAACCCGGGACCTTTGAATGAGAGGCCAACACCTTAACCTCTAGGCCACGAGAGCCCCTCTTGTACTTGGCTGGAGCCTAATGATGTGATCTGGGCAGAACAAACATGTTGTTTAAATACGCTGACAATGTTAGAAAAGCGTTTTGGGAAATGGAAAGGTTTTGTTTTTTTGGGGGATGGTATTTCTTATGCTTCTTTTTTTTCTCTCAAATCTCATTCCATGTATCTATAGGCTACACAACTTTTCCAGGTTTACAGATGCACGGTCATAATAAGTCTCATTTTTCGCCTTGCGGTCTATTATTCTAATCACCGAAACAAATGCTCGACAGTCTGTGAAGCAAAACCTACACGCATGCGGATCTAAATGCATTTGAATCAAGCTCTACTTCAAATAAAACTGAACCAAACCATACAGCGTTCGTATCCGATCTCATTTTCCACTCAACCATACTGTTCAACAGGCGGCCTGGCAACGAGCCACTCACTCCCCTTTCCCCCGTACTACGTAGACTACGTTAGCCTCGACCCCATGCGCTGTGCACACACAGTAGTAACATAGGCTATTAATTTTTTATTTTTTTATTTTTTTTACATCTCTGCGCAAACATGTGGTTTTCTCATCCGAAATACATGTAGCAGTTGTTAAATGTTAGGTCTATCGTTGGCAAGCCATTTAAACGTTCTGGGCCCAGAAAACAAAATTTTACAGGAGAGAGAAGAAATGTTTCATTCTTTTGGCAACAGCATCTACATACATGTGTAGATCTATATCATGCATCTTCTCTTCTTTTTTGAAAATTTAGAACTTGAATTTCAATGAAATATTTCTTGGACATGTGTAACCGATAGATTCTGCCACTGATAAGGAAACTGCGATCTTTTTAAATCTTGCGCTCATTTTAATGCATCTGAACAGCTTGTCGACGATAGGGCATTATGACATATGACGCAGCGGTGGCTCCCTTATTAGGGTAATAAAAAAAGCCAAAACAAACATACATAACAAGCATGGGAAAAGTGTAAATAGATCTAGCCTACATGCAACCTGCTAGACCTAGCCTATTGAAAAGCGCAAGAAGGGATAGGCTACTGGTTGAATGAAATGATTCTCTCTCTCTCTGTCTCTCTCTCTCTCTCTCTCTGTCTCTCTCTCTCTCTCTCTGTCTCTCTCTCTCTCTCTCTCTCTCTCTCTCTCTCTCTCTCTCTCTCTCTCTCCCTCTCTCTCGTCCCAGGATAAGACTAGGCTACAGTAAGTAGGTAATCATTGGGTAGGCCTATTTATTTTAAAAAGGGAATGTTATAATATACTCCGAAGAAGGCATTTTTTAAAGTGGATTAGGATTAGGATGTACTGGGTACATGTATTGTAATTGTTTTGGCTAAAACAGCACCTGGACATGGATGGCTGGTGCCTCTATAAATAAATCATTGATGGTCTGTAATTGTTTCGTTGACACCAATTCAACAAAGAAAGTTGTGTCTGGGCCACATAAGTCTGAGCTGTTCCGTGACAATCATTGTTATTTTATTATTATAGTAGAGGGTTTTACGGCGCTCGCAACTGCATAAGGTCATACGAGCGTCAAGGGGTCGGTGCCAACAGAGAAGTCTTTACAAGGAATCAGACTTATACTGCTCACCTCTCTGGTTTCAACAGCACAAGGTCTGCTTCAACTATCAAGGCAACCCGGAAATAGCAGGTCACAACAGAGTGACAAACATGGATTCAAAAGAAGTAGAGGAAAATGACAATAGTAAGGATTAGGAAAGAAAAAGCAGCTGTTCCCTGTTGTAGATCATGCACAGTTATGAGCGTGACATGAATCAGCCCATTTACAATTCTACTGTCTTTACTGTCTTTGAACGAGAAATGTCCCCCTTTTGGGAATGGCTTACTTAAAGACACTACAGTCAGTGGCACTGCGCCGGGGGGGATACAATCATTGTGTAGGGTTCCTCAGCAGAGCTGTACTTAATAACTGAATGCCGCCGTGATTTTTCGTACTTGTTTATCATCACTTAGCTATTGCCAAAAATTTTTTTTTAATGCTATTATAACAGGCATCTCAAAAGCTAAGTTCAGTGTAATGAGCAAGTTTCTAACAAGTACTCGACAAATCCCACTAACACCCGGAATCATCTGTTAATCTGTTCCTTTCATAATCATAAAACTTTCATGTACGGATCAGAAGTGTGGACTACAGGCAAAGATCTTGAGAAGAAAATAATGAAGATCAGATGGACTTAAAAGAAAACTCGAGAAGACGTCTGCCACATATCAAGAACATCACCAGAGCCTCTTAACAAAATCAAAATGATAAAACTTCAATATTTCGGCCTGATAAAGAGTCACAAGACACAACACACTTGGATAAGCAATGCTGCGCTAAAAAAAGGCCATTTAGAAGGGGAGAGGGTAAAGTAGGCAGAAACTTGAACCGACAACTGACAACATAATGTCATGGACAGCACAAACGTTGGAAAACTGAACCAGAGAAGTTGCGGCGAACAACCGTCTCGGATGACAGATCATTACCCTTACAAGTTACATCTCTCTCTCTCTCTCTATCCCC